CACGTTTCTTATCAAGTCTAGTTTATGCACACCACATTTCAAATGAAGTTTCAACCGAAAAGGCAATTAAATAAATTATTGAAACATACTGCGCATTATGTACATATATATGTTGGAAAAATGTGTGAAAAATTGCATTAAATGGCTATTTTGGGGCAATTTTTTGAGTGGGGTCCACTTCCGATTTGGGTCGGGTCAAAGTGGTTTCGGATTGTCCTTGTTTAGGGCTACAATTCGATATATGGTACGCTCAAAACGAATAATGGGTGAATGAGAAATTGTTTTTCGAAGTTTACCCGTTAGAAGGGAAAATGATGGGTTTCTCGTGTGTTAATTTCCCACACCGGAAAACCCAAGGGATTTGTAACCCTTTATAAAGGGACTCCTCCCTTAAGGAGTTAAGATTCCTAAGGGTAAAGGCTCTCTCCACGCGCGCAAGGTGGGGGGTGCAAATCAAATCCCGAATTCGGAGAAGAAAAACCGCGACTTGCGTGCGCGGGCGACCCGCGGACACGAATGTCGTCCAAAAATCTATCTCTCAAGAGATACGATTAATTTTTTTTTCTTCCCGAAACGATTAATTTTTGTTTTCCCAACGGCATAAGTGCTCGGACAGAAGCCTACGGATCAGAACTCCTCGGACAGAAGTGCTCGGACCGAAACACACCCAACAATATAAAGCGCAGTATGCTTCAAGAATTTATTTAACTGACTTCCCATTAGAATTTTGAGCTAAAATGTGGTTTTCATAAACTAGACTTGATGAGAAACATTTTCAAAAAAACATTCATCAAAAAATTTCATCCTGAAGATCCTCAAACATGCAAGTTCGCACGGCAGGTCTAGTCAGGCGTGCCTGGCCACTTCTGTTCTTCACACACACACACACACACACACACACACACACTAAAAGGAATGTGTAAAGACTGCAGGGATACATGCCCCCCAATCCGTAGTATAGTTCTGCCACTGGGTGACAGAACAGTGAAGATCCACTGATTCCTGCATTAAGAGAAATAGACCTACCATTTTCAGAAATCTCAATGCTATTATATCCGGAAGAACCTCATGGATGGATACTGAGGAGAAGAGCACGCCTATTAGTACACGGTCAGGAATACATTACTAAGTAAACTGCTTATCATATGTACACCACTAATGATGAGTTGCATTGTGCAGGAATTGCAGTTTTGCAAACAATGTAGGAAATGCATTTTTTGAACATTGTGTAGTAAATGTTTTTTGTAAATACTCTCTTCATTTTGGATACTCCTTACAGTTTTTTGATCTCACTTGAGAAAAAAACATATACATATACATTGTAACACCCCGGCCCCGCAAGGCCCGAGGTAATTACTCTTAGATACTCTCCAGACCTTTAGTACAGTTCTCACAAACTAACACATGCCTTTACCCCGCACTTTGTTCTCACTCGTCCATGCCTTGAGAAACTTAACAGGGGGTCACCCATCCCAAGACTACTCCCGTGCAAGCATGCATAACTTGGAGTTCTTGACCGATGGGCTTCCTTGAAAAGAAGATGGACCTTGTTGGTATGAGTAGTACTATTAATCACTTTAAATTGATCTCAAGTAGTACAATCACCCTTACTTAAGCGCAATGTCCTCGTTTCACCCATAAACCAATCTCAACCAAACCCCAAAATCCTCCCCATGCTAAGTGTCCATTCGATATCTAACGGGCCAATACATTATTGCAGGGTTGCTCTGATACCACTTGAAACATCTCGGGCCTTGCTAGATACTCTCCAAACCTGTAGTGTTGTCCTCACAAACCAACACAAGCCTAGAAGGATGAGTTTCCTTAAAAGGAGACACACCTTGTTGATATGAGTAGTACTATTAATCACTTTAATTTAATCTTAAGTATTACAATCATTCAATGTTAAAATATGCACAATGTGGGGAAGAGAATTGAAACGTGCAGCTGCCCATCTTGCATCTATCTTACACAGGTCTTCCTTTAAGTTCTGCATTCCACATTAAACACAATGAGATGTAATAAATCAACAATCCAATCTCTATAGAATTATAAAGCATAAACTTCCTACAATGGACACAAAACATCATCGTTTGCATCCATCAACAACAGCAATGCTTTAACAACTACCGATTTTGCATATGGTATTAGTGATAAACTACTCAATCCAACAATTGAGTAACGGTGATCAAGCGAGGTAAAAATTATACAGAAAGTCGGAAACTCACCGCCTTATCAGCCGAAATGGGGAGTCCATCAAAGTCGGAAACTCACCGCCTCATCATCATCATCATCATCATCATCATCATCATCATCATCATCATCATCATCATCATTATACTGATATGATTGAGTACACGTACGTAACAGGGTGAGAAGAGCAATACCGAGCACACATACAAGAAGAAGAAAAATACCTTAAACGGAGATATTAGAACTTAGAACCGGATAGCGGCAGAAGGGCGAGAAGGAACATCAATAACGGAGATCTGGATTTTGCATTCCCCGGGGCAATGGAATTGTGTCTTCCCGCCATTTGAAGACGAACTCGGGAACTCACACACTGAACCAACCGCAAGTTCGCTAATAAGGTGGTGTGGACTGTCTTGAAATTTTCCAATGATTTGATAAAAAATTACATACTCTCGTCGATGCCACTCATCTGGAGAGAGTGGTTATCTTGACGCCCTTTAATTGACTCTGTTTCTTTTGAAATACTAACTGATTCTGTTAATGACCTATATTATACGGAGTATGTGTTATATAAATATTTGGTGGAGTAATATTTTTTTCAATTAATTCAGTAGGACATGCCGGTGATCGAGTTATAGTAACAAGGGCCAAATGGTATATATTTACACACACATATACAATAACTATTTATGTGTGTCTGTTAGGGTGGATACTGTTTACTTCTAGGTGGTTCTATTTTCACACTGGTTGGTTTAAAAAAGTTTGAGAAGAATGGGACCTAGACCTATTTTTCTGGTCCCGTGATCCGTCACATGATCTTGATCAAAGTCTGATTACATTTTTATATACATTTTATAACTCTTTAACCTCACTCCCCACCCCCACCTCACTCGTTTTCAGCTTTTAAATGTACCACGATCCATTTTGAAAATGCTTTCCAATAGCTCAAATGTAAAAAAAAAATAGGAATTTAGTGGCATGTACATAATGATTAATGAATTTAGTAGCATCTACTTAGTCTCTTACTTTGCTTATCATGACTAAATTCATGTCATGTGAGGACTTTCCTCCTTACATTACAATTTCTATACATTTTAATTAAAAAAAGAAAAATTATTAATGTCAATTATCTTAAAGTTTTATCCTTGCAAGTAAATCCCAAGATGTGTAATAAAATCACTTTTTTTATAATTATTTTTTGGATTGTAATATTGTTAGATTGCTTTCTTGCATAGGGTTACGAAACTATGATCCTTTTACCCGTCCCAATTAACTATACATTACTCCCAAGTATAAAAAGACCCAACGGAGCAAATATAGACTCACAAGCAAGAAAAATTTTCATCCATGACCCAATATGAGTCATGTTAAAGGCAAACAATGTGCAAGCTTTCAATTGCCAATAGAGCAATTCTACCGGTGGATTCAAACACACATGGTAAAAAGCAATAACGAGAAAAGTGTCAGTTTGGTACATGAACTTGGGAGCGGGGGAGTAAAGAGTACATCAACCTGCAATTGGGATCCACCGGTACACTAAATTGCCAAAATGGGTCTAATTTAGTCCTACCGGGTATTACGAATGCTAAAATGTTGAGTTGGCCATTGGATTAGTGAGTTGGGTTAAAAATTAGCTAGGAAGATGTACTCTGTCCTCATGCCACCGGAAATGGAGGGGATCCCGTCTTCATCTCAGAGCATTTCGTCCAAAGGTTTACCAGATTTCCCTACTGGTTATGGCGAGAGAATCCAGCAGGACCCGACGGCGGACAACGCGGCGATGGGAGAGGCGGAGCTCGTCTTGGAGCCTCTTTGACCGGAGGTTTCTTGAGTTGCGTTAATCATGGTAGTTTCAGTTCTCAGCAACAACGGCCACGCCCTCCCCGCGTTAGTTTATGGTTAAGGAGCGGAGCTTCCCAGTGGCCGTTAATGGCGGAAGCTCATAAGGTTGAGGTTGAGCCGTGAGAGGCGATTGATGAGGAGGAGACCTGGAACGGGGAAGTGAACTCCAGCTGATACATTGAGGTGAGCGTGCTTCACAAATCGCAATGTCCATGATTGCTCCGGTTGACCGGTGCTTGTGGGGTTCAGAACACGCACCAGATCAGAAACTTCAGATCTCACAAAATTCCAGCTTTCTTACTAATCCAATGGCCAGTTCAGCATTTTAGCATTCCTAATACCCCGTAGGACTAAATCAGACCCTTTTGGAAATTTGTTGTACCGGTGGATCCCAATTGCAGGTTGATGTACTCTTTACTCTTCCGCTCTCAAGTTCATATACCAAACTGACACTTTCCTCAAGCAATAACTAACACACAAATTTAGAATAGGGAAAACTGTCAAATAGGTCCTCGAACTTTCATAAAAGGTCAATTAAGTCCTTTTATAGGAGGTTTTGTCCGGCCGTCGCGGTTTGGGGCAGTTCCCGGTGGATTTTTTTGATGAAATGTTTTGAGCATCTTATTCACCAAGTCTAGTTTACTCATACCAAATTTCAGCTAAAAATTCAATCGGGAACACATTCAAATTAATTGTTGAAGATAACTGCGCATTTTTGCGTTCTCGAATTAATTTTAGAATATAAAACACATGACTTCCTTCATTTTCACAAAAGCTATTGAATTAATCATTTCAATAGATAGTAATAAGGGGGTGTTTAGAAATGATTGTGATTCTGTTTCTTTTTTAAAGTAGAAGCAGAATCAGATTTCAGAAGCTGGTCACCCCAGTTTCTAAAGAACTGATTCTAGGAGTAAATTAGAGTACCAGAATCACTTTTACACTTTCGCCCAAACACTCAAAGTGGAAATTTGACCTTGGAAATTTTCAGGACAGTCCTCCACTCCTTCTACCTTAGCGAACCTGCGGTTGGTTCAGTGTGTGAGTGCCTGAGTTGTCTGCAAATGGCGGGAAGACACAATTCCATTATCCCGGGAAGCTCAAAATCCAGATCTCCGTTGTTGATATTCCTTCTCGCCCTTCTGCCGCTATCCTTCATCTTCTACATATTTTCATCCTCTTCTGATTCCGTGACCAGCTCCATCGCAATCCGCCCCGTCCCAAACCCTAACTCAGAAGTTGATTACTCATTCGTGTCCTCGCTCGAGAAGTTCCTCGCAAAATCTCCTCGATCATTGAGTGTCAGCGATGACTCAGTGCTCGATACAATTACCGCAGGGGATGTGCAAAAGTTAGATGATTTGAAATGGAAGAAGGAGATTCAGAGTTTATACGAAGAACCGTTCTATCCTGCCTTTTCGCCTATTAAGGTTTATGTCTACGATATGCCTAAGAAGTTCACTTACGATTTGCTCTGGTTGTTCCGCAATACGTACAAAGAGACAGGTAATCTTACTTCGAATGGCAGTCCTGTGCACAGGCTGATTGAGCAAGTAAGTTTTCTTTTATCTCATCGTACTTTTGCGCTTTTAATTTGGTATCGGTAATATATGTTTTAGCTGGAATGCATTGCTTTGTGTGTAGCATTCAATTAATTACTGGTTATGGGCGGATTTGATAGCGCCAGAATCAGAAAGGCTGTTGAAGAATGTGGTTAGAGTGCATAAGCAGGAAGAATCAGACCTATTCTACATACCGTTTTTCACTACCATCAGCTTTTTCTTGCTTGAAAAACAGCAATGCAAGGCTCTTTATAGGGTGTGAGTGCATTTTCATGCAGCAAACATTATACTCTAAATATTTTCTTTCTTCTGCTGCCCTAATTTATTCTATTGAATAGTGAATTTCATAAGATTCCATTGGGATTGACTGCATCTATGAAACCCTGCTTCACAAAAATATCTCTAACCTTTAACCCCTGTTAAAATCCTCTACTGTTTATACGTCCTCTTTTCATTCTCCCTACAAAAGCAGGCAATTTGCCATGATTGAAAGCATTTCTTTTAATCAGAGACATGATATTGTTTCCATATGGGAGCTTGATTGGGGGGAGTTATAGCTATACATTACGTCTGGCTAAGTAAGGATGTATGGATAAGATATGGGGACTACAGAGATGGGAGAGATTAGGTGTAGAGAGTAAACAGTGAGAGGAGTACAAGCTGCAAAGTAAAGTTGATGAGTGTCTTGAGCGTGAATGCACTTCAAGTCTCCAAGTGCATTGCATATTCTGTGCTGAGGAGGCAACAACCCATTTTTATTCCATTTTGGAAAGGAAAGTTATTTCATAGGAGGATTTTTTCTCCTCATTTCCCTTCCCATCCAAACCACAATCTGGGGGTGGATAGTTTATTTCTCTTTTTAAAAGTGAGAATGAACTGTTTTTTAAGGTGTCATGCTATTGATAAGTGATAACTAATACTAGAGGTGGATGTATGCAACAGTTAGTTTACTATCTTGAAATTGGAACTGACATTAGTTTTTAGAGAAGTTTCAGCTTTTTATAGATTTTTCTTGTATGTGATCACATATATTCTGAATATACAGGAAGCCTTGAAATGGGTTATGGATCAACCTGCATGGAAGCGGTCCGAGGGAAGAGATCATATCCTTCCTGTCCATCACCCTTGGTCTTTCAAGTCTGTTCGCAAATTTATGAAGAATGCAATTTGGTTGCTTCCTGATATGGATTCAACAGGGAACTGGTAAAAACCATAACTTAGTTCATTGTTTCAAAATACCCAAATGTTACTAAAGCTAGGGTATGTGGTATGACTTCAGGTACAAACCAGGACAGGTTTATCTCGAGAAGGACCTGATACTTCCTTATGTTCCCAATCTTGACCTTTGTGATGCCAAATGCTTATCAGAGAATGAAAATAAGAGAAGCACACTGCTGTTTTTTCGTGGGAGGCTTAAAAGAAATGCTGTAAGCTTGCATTTTTCTTTTCTTTGCGAGGTTTAGTAAACATTATGACACTTATTTTCATGGGTCACAGAATCTACGATGGAGTAGTACTGTAGTGCAGTAACTGCTATCTGGTGTGTATGTTTTTGGTAAACAATAGCTTAAGTTCATCACACATAATTGTGCAAGTGGATGCTCTAAATAATTCACTTTACTTTCCAGGGAGGAAAAATACGTGCCAAGCTTGTATCAGAACTTAGTGGTGCTCAGGGAGTGCTTATAGAGGAAGGGACTACTGGAGATGCTGGAAAGGCAGCAGCTCAGACCGGCATGCGCAAGTACTTTTTAAAAACTTTATTATCCAGACAGTGCTTAACTTATTTAAAATGCTGACTAATTTTGATTCATTCATGCGGTGATTAGGAGTTTGTTTTGCCTTAGTCCTGCCGGTGACACTCCATCATCAGCGAGATTATTTGATGCAATTGTTAGTGGCTGCATTCCGGTCATAATAAGTGATGAACTAGAGCTTCCTTTTGAGGGAATTCTTGATTATCGTAAGGTTCGTAAATATGATTTGCCTGTAGGTTTTCTTCATTGTTTTTGCAAGAAGGGTGTCAAAATGTGATCCATTGGACTTAGATGTAGTTAACAACATACGGTATAATCATAACCGAAAGTTAGATTACTTGTTCAGTTAGTTGAGTACTCACATCCATTTAACACCGTCTTTCTGTATTCAGATATATTGAACAATAAATTTTAAATTCAATTGATTCATCAGTTGTGTTTTCATCATGTGATTATAATATATCCCTGTTAAACAGAAACTCTAAGACAATTATGATTTTCAATGTGTTTTTTTTTGTCGCGAAAATGTTTGCATTCATTCATTGTCAAGACCACATTGAATATACTCTTGGGTATCAGTGTTTATAAGGGAAACCTTGGTGCACCGGTTAAGGTGTTGTTGTGTGACCGAGAGGTCACATACTCACGGGTAGCGGCCTCTTGTCAAAATCACAGGGGAAGCCTTGCCCCCTATACAGTCTTGTGGTGGGACCCTTCCCTGGACCCTCATTTTGCGGGAATGCCAATCTGTTCTGGGCTGTCCCATATCAGTGTTTATCTTCCCGGGGAGGGCCTCCAACTGAGGGAATAGACCAAATAGTATTTCACTTTCTTCCCATTTCTATACCACATGACATGTTCTCTTATATGGCTAAATAATTTCCCATTCACTCTATCTTTATTTGGCAGATTGCTTTACTTGTACCTTCCAGTGATGCAGTGCAGCCGGGGTGGCTCCTTTCATTTCTGAGAAATGTTAGTACTTCTCAAATCAGAGATATGCAAATGAACTTAGCTAAGGTTCGTCTGTCTGAGTACCATTAATAGTTGTGGTTGTTGAGTTAATCGCATAAATCAGTTATTACCTCTGACCCAATAACATCTTTTCTAATATTCAGTATTCAAGGCATTTTTTGTATTCTCATCCTGCTCAACCTTTGGGCCCAGAAGATTTGGTCTGGAGAATGGTTCGTTATCCATACCTTACCTTATTCAGCCAGTACTTTGTGTTCTATTTTTCATGTTTTGCTTGTTATAAGTTATATGTTGTTAAAATGTGAAGTGTTGATTATGTTCTTTGATATACTAGTATCTGATAACTTACAGACGCAGCATTTCCAGTATCTGAAGCTTTACTTGAAAGAAAAAATTAAGGCTTTACAAAAGTGCACACATATTAGGGAGCTTTTTGGAATGATACATATACCCTTTTGTAGGGTTCACATCATGTGTCTTTTTATTTATGAAACTAATTCCTGGGTGCAAAAGTATTTCATGGGATTGACATTAATAGAAGGATGGAAGGATTAACATATTTGTTTGTGGTGACTAAGCAGATGGCAGGAAAATTGGTTAACATTAAACTTCACACCAGGAGGAGGCAGCGTGTTGTGAAAGAATCAAGAAGTCTCTGCACCTGTGATTGCAGACGTCCCAATACTACGACGCCAGGTCTCTTGCCTTAACTCTGTAATTTCAGTTGTGTATTTGTTTAGAATTTTGTACATCAAATTCTTGTCATTCGTTTGCATTCTTTCCCTTTCCTGTATTGGCAGAAAAAATTCACTCTTGAAAGTATGGATTCAACTTATGAAATCTCACTAACACCCCATTTCCACTTGGTCGCCCTTGTACTGAAGACTTTATTGTTCGTCAATCGTGATTGTTGTCAATTGCTGAATGTCATTGCGTGTTAAAACAATTCATTATACAATAGCATTTTTAGTTGTTTTGTTTGTTCAAATAAATGTATCTTATTTATTCTGTTCGGGTCTTCGGGATATTGTATAGCAAAATTCCATGAAAATCTTGAAACGACTCTCTTTTAAGGAGGAAAAAGTTTTTGGTGTTAAATTTAACTCAACCCAAACCCGGCAAATTATACCGTGGGATCGGTACACCATGAGCATGGGGTCGGTTCGGGCCAACCGGAACCGGTCAACTCCCGGTTCAGGCCATTTTTTTTTTCATTTTTTTTGTTTCTACCGGGTAGGGCTGGGTGTTTTGGGGGGGTTGGGGTGGGGTGAAGGGGGGTAATTTAGAAAAACAAAAGAAAATTAAAAAAAAAACATTGAATCGGAAACGGGCCCGGCCCGGAACCGCCGGTCATCCGGGCCGGTTCCGGTTCCCTACTTCCCAAACAAAAGCCCGTCTGGGCCCAGGCCCGAACCGGAACCGGCCCGGCCAGGCCCGGCCCGGGTCCATCCCTAGTCTTGCGCCGGGGTCCTGTAGCAGACTAGCAGTGAATCTCGAGGAGAAAATTGTTCTGCCTTGCTATGCATCTGGAATGGCTACGCCTGCTACACTTCTGGAATTGCTCTGCAGCTGCGAACGCTGCACCAGAACAGTAGTTAGGCCTCTTCTACTTTGTACGGAGTAATTGTCTGGTCAATTTGCGTGAGACGCAAGGAGACCATTGGTCGACTTTTTGCGTGAGACGAAGCTTAGACGCAATTCTGAAAAATCAGATCCATCACTGAGTTCTTCCATCCCAACTTAAAAACGTTCGTTGTTTTCCTTGAAATCGGTGATGATGAAGTTCACCCACTGGAATTCTGGAAAACATTAGATGCTTGAGTTTAATTCCATTGAATTCATATACAGTTGTATTTAATATATCCATGTATGTATAGTAGACATCTTATATTTTGATTTAGGTTCATGTTACTCTATTAAAGCAAATTACATTTTCATTTAGTTCAACTTACATTTCAATTAACCCTGTTTACATTTCTTATTTAGCTCATGTTACATTTCAATTAACACAATTTATATTTTCTAAATTTTTTCAAGTTACATTTTACATAGCCTTGAGTTATACGTAGTATTTCGATTTGCTAAAAGTTACTACGTACATTTTATAACACATGGTTTACATTAGACATGAAAAGTGATAGAAGTACTAGAGGGAGTATCATGAGTTATGATTCAGGGCATAAGTTACATTTGTCGCTAACTGAAATTACATTTGTAACAATGCGAGTTTACATTTCATTACAAGTGATTTACATTACGAAAATAGTTAGAAACAATCAACAATTACTGTCCATCCGTGTTTTTTTGTTTAATTATTAAGTCAAATGACACATGTGGGAGCACGATCCTCACCGTGGACTGCTCCCACGGTATACCAACTCAATTTATTTGGTATGAATAAAAGGTATTTCATTTCACTCTAAAACACATAAAACGAGAGATAAATAAAAGAACGCTTTTTTATGGAAACCCAAATAGGTGAAAATAGGGATGGCCTCGGGCCGGTTCGGGTCTGGGCCCGACCGGGCCTCGGGTCTGTTTTGTTGGGCCCGAGCCCGAACCGGTGGCCACCGGTTCCGGGTCGGGCCACCCGGTTAGTTTGTTTTTTTTTCTTTTCTTTTCTCCCCCCCCCCCCCCCCCCCCCAAAACCCCCCAAACCGGGGTCCTAAACATCAAGCCCAACTCAATAAAGCCCAAAAAAATGAAAAAAACAAAAAAAAAAAAACAGTTTTTGGCCCGGGCCCGGGCCGGGCCGGGCCGGTTCGCCAAAAACTGTAACCGAGCCCGGAACCGCCCAAGCCCCGGGCCTAGGCCCGAACCGGACCCGGACCCGGAAAACCGGGCCGGGCCGGTCCCGCACAGTAGCAGGCCGGGCCGGTTCCCGGGCCGGGCGGCCCGAACCGAGGCCATCCCTAGGTGAAAACCATTTTGGGTTAATCTAAGCCGTTGGATCTCTAATTATTCACCTCGTAAGTCAAAACATGTGATAGCATCTAATTTGAATGAATGAGAAGTTAACGTTTAATGAAAATGAGATGTAGCATTCCGATTTTGTATGTACCGACAGCAACATGTAAAATGTGTAAAACTGTAAATGACTAAAATATCATTGGAGATGTGCGGAAATTAAATTTACTTAAAATATACTACTAAAATGATTAGGCCTGGTTCAGTTCGTAGGCAAAATACGTGGAACCGTTTGAAATTATAAAAATTTACTAACGGTTCGGTTCTTATAAATTATTTCATAGAACTGATAAGGAATCGAACCGTTCATAACGGTTCGGTTCTTGTCATTTAACGGTTCCTAGTCTTTGAAAAAAATCTTACAAATCACGACAAAATTTTTGCTAAAACGACATTCAACGTTTGAAATTACAATATAAATATGTTGAACTAGTTAAAGAGAATAATAATTTTAAATAGTTTAGACCTTCCGAGTTTCGATCCGCTGGAGTTTGGACCAAATGTGAGGCCTAAGAAGCCTAAGAGAACCGGTTGAAGTAAATAATAGTTTTAAATAGTTAAATAACTAAACTAAAATAATGAATGTAATATAAAAATAAACAAATAAAAATATATTAAAATATATATACTCATAAGAAGTATATATAACTAGCTTTCAAGCCCGTGCGATGCACGGGTAGTATGTAATTTAACTAATTTGAAATTTGATTTCTTTCAGATCATATGTAATGTGATTTAAAAGAAAAATAAACTTAGTCTAATATAGAGCTTGTTTGATAATACGAAAATAAATTGAATGAACTTATTTTACTGAAATTGATTAAATTATGACTGAATGAGCTGAATCGGTATAATCTCCTCAATCGTGAAAAAAATATGTAAAATATATTCCATTTGTGAAGCCAGGAAAAGATTATATGAAAAATAATTAAATTGATCTTCTACATAAGCATCTCGAGCAAATATAATTGCTATGAACCCGATTTTAAACATTTAATATAATCTTATGAAGATGGATATTCATAGAAATTTAATATATATGAAGTAAAAAAAGTCTAAATATAGAGCATGTTTTTTAAATTGTAAGCCTAAACGTATAAACGTATACTATAACATTTAATATAATGGTTATAATGGAATTAAAACGTATAATTCTAACACATAATTCTAGGCCTAAACATATACTATAACATTTAATTGTTATAGAAATTAAAACGTATTTTTGGCTAAGAATACCTATCATATATAAACTTAGTCTAATATAAAGCATGTTTAATATAGTACTTTTTTACACCAAAAAAAATATAGTACTTTTTACGAATTTTTGTTTCCATATCAATATGCAATCAAAAATAGAATCTAGTTAATAAAAATAGAAGATATGAGAATAACTAAATAATTAATATATATAATGACATGGCAAGATTATGTGGCACTTTGTATGCTTTTAAAAAGTTCCTCTTTTATATATATATATATTGATTTTAATTATTATATATAATGGTTCCTTAACGGTTCCTGGTACATATTTTTTTAAGAACCGAGAACCGAACCGTTAATAAAAAATAGGAACCGAACCATTAACAAATAACTAATAAATGCTGAAACTGAACCGAACCGGGTCATAACGGTTCGGTCCGATTCGGTTATCCGGTTCTTGGTTCCAAAGTCCCGGCCCTAAAAATGATATCTCCCTGAAAGGCCGAAACTATTGCAAGTTTGAAAATTGCAACCATTAAGCAATAAAATTTTAAATTTGGTTTCAGGATCACATTGGTCTCCTTTCTTTTATCTTTGATTTTCGACGATTGGTAAATAAATCAAATGTTCAAATCTGATGTTTGTGACAAACTTATTGTGTTTAAATAGTTGAAATTTGTTATAAAACTTAAATCAAATTGTGTGTTTGAAGCAGTTTCTTTCAGTGCGCATATGTTTCGACAAACTGCATTACAATTTAGAATAATATATGAATACAAAAATAAATATTTCGAGAGAACGATAGAAATTTAAAAGCTTTAAAAGATGCATAACAAACTTGGATAACACTTGGAGCAAGTGTTCTTATAAACTTTGAACAGAAAAGAGGTAAATAAATGTTTAAAGTCTTCAAACTATTAACGATTATGCAATTAGGCTTTTGAACATAAAGATTTTGTAAATTCATCCCTGGGCAGATTGAAATAACACAATTGAATCACTTTTTACCTGCTGGTCACGGTAAGATTGAAATTCAAAAACATTTTGGTTGAAAAAATCTCATCGAGTTCGATAATTTTTTGATGAGAAGTTTCATTAGATGGAGAATTGCATTTGTAAGATCTAGTTGCAAAGTCGTTAATTGTCCTAGTGGTTACTTCCCTTTAAAAAAAGTACTCCCTCCGTCCCTTATTGTTATTCTAAATTAAAGTGACACGGTGATTAAGAAAGTGCGAATTGTGTGGTAGAGAGTTGTGCAGAGGAGAGAGAAATGCTATGAACCACAAATTCTTTGCCAAAAAGGGAAAGTGAACTTCTTTTTACGACATCCCAAAAAGGAAAGTTGGAACAACATTTAGGGACAGAGGGAGTAGATTCTATGGTACCCAAAAGGTACCATACCTTTGTTCACTTGAACCTATTAGAATGTTGCAGTTGAATTATCTAAATCTAAATTAAAAATATTTTAATGATTTGGACCAATCATATGAGTAGTAGGTACGGTACCCTATTTTTTAAATGAGTACCGGAGTTGTCACCTAAAAAACGATATTGGGAAGCAGGCAACCAGCTCCGTCATGGACTCCCCTAATTTCGCGTTTGTTTGACTATACATATCAAAACTATGTCGGACTTTTGCAATTAAAACTTTCTTCCAAGACGACTGTGTGAGTGGGATGGGAAGTGGGAACCCATACTTACAAATGCCATCTTAATTGAAACCGTTCATATAAAGCCATAAAGGTAAGTGTCACACTATCCCTTAAAACTTGGTAGATCGTATGTTATCCATAAGGTACCGGGGCGGAGCCAAAGCACTGGGCCGGACTGGACCGGTACAAAGAATATTTTTTGAAAAAAATTTACACGAAAATTTTTACCTTAAAAATTAAGCCATTTTTAAAATTTGGAGTGAGTCATGGCCTAGGTTGGCCCAC